ACTGGACCAGAGGTAACTATATCAGGTGGCTAGGCTCCATTTACTGGACCAGAGGTAACTATATCAGGTGGCTAGGCTCCATTCACTGGACCAGAGGTAACTATATCAGGTGGCTAGGCTCCATTCACTGGACCAGAGGTAACTATATCAGGTGGCTAGACTCCATTCACTGGACCAGAGGTAACTATATCAGGTGGCTAGGCTCCATTCACTGGACCAGAGGTAACTATATCAGGTGGCTAGACTCCATTCACTGGACCAGAGGTAACTATATCAGGTGGCTAGACTCCATTCACTGGACCAGAGGTAACTATATCAGGTGGCTAGGCTCCATTCACTGGACCAGAGGTAACTATATCAGGTGGCTAGGCTCCATTCACTGGACCAGAGGTAACTATATCAGGTGGCTAGGCTCCATTCACTGGACCAGAGGTAACTATATCAGGTGGCTAGGCTCCATTCACTGGACCAGAGGTAACTATATCAGGTGGCTAAGCTCCATTTGAGTTGGTATTTGTATATATATAGCCCATATATGTCATTGGTCTGTATGGTTTTCGTAGATCACCTAATAACATCTAAAATTCTGAATACTTCAGTTTTTTTTTTTTCTTACCCAAGAAAATCTCAACATTATTTTTTTTTCTTCTTCAGCTGTTGCCATTAAATGAATAGTTGTAGTGGTTTACAGCTAGGCTGAGATATCTCCACCTTTAGGCCGAACACTTTCTATTTCAACAAATTCCCGAAGTAGACGCCTTTGTATGTCATGCTTTTTTAGGAGACAGTGGGTCTTCTCTCTCTCTCTCTCTCTCTCTCTCTCTCTCTCTCTCTCTCTCTCTCTCTCTCTCTCTCTCTCTCTCTCTCTCTCTCTCTCTCTCTCTCTCTCTCTCTCTCTCTCTCTCTCTCTCTCTCTCTCTCTCTTTTAAATCTTAATGGAAACCACCTGGGGAGGTCAATATCCATCTTAAAACTCACATCATTGACAGTTTCCTCATCGTTTCATTACTCACAGTCAAGAGGCATCCATACAGAAGAAAAAGCCACAGTTATTGGGTCAGCTGATCGACAAAAGGATTGTTGATGGTGAACTCAAGTGAGAAAGCTATCAAGAAGATCAACTGCACCTTATATGTTGCAACAAACAATCTCTCAATGGAAACTGGTTGTAATTAGAACAGTGGTATACTCACATGCATGCATAGTGAGTGACTCAGCAAATGTGCTCAGTAAAATCCATGCTTGGTTTATAAGACAGGAATAAATTATTTTGCCTTTCAAAATGTTGCTCAGTATTGTCAATGAGTCTTAAAATATAATGATTCTGGTTTTCAGATAAACATTGACTTTTTTGAGGATTTTTAAATGTCAGAAATTTCCTGCCATGAATCTGATATTACTTTTCATTTTTGACAGGTTCAGCTCAGCTTCCAATCAATCACAGACAAAGTGTAATGAACAATGGTACATTAGTTATTCGTCGTGTCCAGCGAGAGGATTCAGGACAGTACACGTGTGTTGCTCGCAACAGAGAGAAGCAAGGGATGGAACGCAGTATGCACATTGCCGTTGTTGGTATGTAGAGCACTAGATATTCTTATGACATGAATAGTTATGAAACAATTATAATTTTAAAACTTACACTATTAAAAAGAGGCATCAGAAAAGAGACAGAAAAATTGAAAGTTATGAAGAGATATGAAGAAGGCAGAAAAATTTAAAGGTACAAAGAGATCTCATGAAGAAGATGTCTCTTTGTAACTTTCCATTCTTACCCACTCAGGGCTGCATTTCCATTCTTACCCACTCAGGGCTGCAGGCCCACTCTTACCCACTCAGGGCTGCAGGCTCACTCTTACCCACTCAGAGCTGCAGGCCCACTCTTACCCACTCAGAGCTGCAGGTCCACTCTTACCCACTCAGGGCTGCAGGCCCACTCTTACCCACTCAGAGCTGCAGGCCCACTCTTACCCACTCAGGGCTGCAGGTCCACTCTTACCCACTCAGGGCTGCAGGTCCACTCTTACCCACTCAGGGCTGCAGGCCCACTCTTACCCACTTAGGGCTGCAGGCCCACTCTTACCCACTTAGGGCTGCAGGCCCACTCTTACCCACTCAGGGCTGCAGGTCCACTCTTACCCACTTAGGGCTGCAGGTCCACTCTTACCCACTTAGGGCTGCAGGCCCACTCTTACCCACTCAGAACTGCAGGCCCACTCTTACCCACTCAGAGCTGCAGGCCCACTCTTACCAACTCAGGGCTGCAGGCTCACTCTTACCCACTCAGAGCTGCAGGCCCACTCTTACCCACTCAGAGCTACAGGACCACTCTTACCCACTCGGAGCTGCAGGTCCACTCTTACCCACTCAGAGCTGCAGGCTCACTCTTACCCACTCAGAGCTGCAGGCCCACTCTTACCCACTCAGAGCTGCAGGCCCACTCTTACCCACTCAGGGCTGCAGGCCCACTCTTACCCACTCGGAGCTGCAGGTCCACTCTTACCCACTCAGAGCTGCAGGCCCACTCTTACCCACTCAGGGCTGCAGGCCCACTCTTACCCACTCAGAGCTGCAGGCCCACTCTTACCCACTCAGAGCTGCAGGCCCACTCTTACCCACTCAGAGCTGCAGGCCCACTCTTACCCACTCAGGGCTGCAGGCCCACTCTTACCCACTCAGAGCTGCAGGTCCACTCTTACCCACTCAGGGCTGCAGGCCCACTCTTACCCACTCAGAGCTGCAGGCCCACTCTTACCCACTCAGGGCTGCAGGTCCACTCTTACCCACTCAGAGCTGCAGGTCCACTCTTACCCACTCAAAGCTGCAGGTCCACTCTTACCCACTCAGGGCTGCAGGCTAGTGAAGCCATTAGCATTACCCAAGTTGTAACATGTTTTTGAAGTTGAACAGAATGTCTGGAATTTGCTCAAACCTTTGATGTGGCAGCTGGGAGGGAAAAGACAGACACAAAAGGTTGCACTTCATAGAGTTTTGAGAACCCTAATTTCTCCAAGAACTTGCTTGCTTACTTGATTTGACTGACTGACTTTCTACCCCACCAGGGCATCACACAAGCGATAAACACCCGATGACACAATGTGCCATCATGTGGGTGAGGATCACCGTGGAGTGGTCACAGAAACCGTGTTCAGCCTTTAGACCATATTTATGGCCAGGCTAATTGCAGCCCCTGGCAAGAGCCAGAGTGGGGCTTCAAATAACGAAAAATGTCATCCTAAAAAGGACGGGTACTTACTTACTTGATTTAAACGTAAAAGAAAAGCACAATAACTGAAAATAATTTTTATTTTGGTTTTTATTATTATCTTATAACTTGTGCTTTTATTCTTTTAAATTTTTATTTTTATTTTAGAAAAACAATTAAAAGATGGAACAAAACTGACACTGTTTGCATGATGTTATCCTTTTATTTTTTTGGGTCAAATCTCTATTTACATGTCATTATTTCTGTCTGCATGTTATAATCTCCTAAGCTCTCTGTGCAAGGCCTTGAATTCAGTAAAATAAAGTTGGGCATATTGAGTTCCCTTTAATATTTAAAATATTTAATCCCAAAAAACTTTTAGAGTAAAATCTGCGGTTTTGTGTACTTTAATTTCATTTTGCTCTGTGACACATTTGTCAACATCTTTTTTTTCTTCTTTTTCAGAACCTCCAGTTATTGATCCATTTCATTTCCGACAACGCAAACAAGGGGACAGAATTCTTGTTACATGTGCAATCATTAGTGGTGATCTTCCCATTACAATACAGTGGGAGAAAGATGGCCGAGCTATCCCACAGGACATGGGAATACGAATACAGGTGTGGGTTTTTACTTATACGAAAGGGGTATGATGTCTTTCCAGTCCTCTTCAACAAAAGCTATTATGCTAAATTTTGTTTGTTTCTGTTGAAAATTGCTTCAGAAAAATATTTACATTTTGGTGAAAGCGAGCCAGTAAATGCACCAAAACTTTTTTTTCCCACATTATCTTGGTTTTGGTTTTTGTTTTTTAATAAACTTTAAATGAAAGTTGGAAATAATTTACCCTTATACTTCTCACGGCTATCAGATACTACTACAGGAGAAATTAGAAGAAACTTTGGTGTTACCACCCTTAGTGATCCAGCTGGCTGAATGGCTGACTGACTGACTGACTTTCTACCCCACCAGGACATCACACAAGCGATAAACACCCGATGACACAAAGTGCCACCATGTGGATGATGATCCCCGTGGAGAGGTCCCAGAAACCGCGTTCAGACAATTGGCCATATTTATGGCCTGCCTATATTGCGGCCCCTGGCAAAAGCCAGGGTGGGGCTTCAAATAACAAAATAAAAAGGACGAAACTGAATGGGCTGAATGGCTAAGAACACTGGCCTTTTATATGGGAGATCCCAGTTTAAATTTTCTGTAAGATAATGGGTTTTTTTTTTTTTTTAAATTAATAATTATAATTTATGCATGCAGCAAAAATCAAATCCCAACCTGTCCAGTCAAACCTTGCTGGTCTGTATCTTCTAGCTCAACGAACCCTTGCCTTCCTGTACAAATGGTAGATACAATCTGTAATGGCAGTTTTGTTGTTGTTGTAGCGATCTTCTGCAGTCAACCTCAGTTGTGAAGATCGATTGATCGATCAATCATTCTACCCCCTCCAGGCTGCTACCTCAAGATTCACCATACTATCCTGAGATTGAATATCTCAGTCAGGATTGTGGACTAACAAGGCAGGTCCCAGATACCCCGTTGAACCACTAAAGAAGTTATAATTATGGCACCCTTAGCGTCTACACCAGCCAGTCCTATATGGGTAAATTTTATTGTGGAGACTGCACAAAGTTTATTTACTTTACTTCTAAACTATACGAAAATGCAAAGGAACGTAAATCCTGGGACACACAATAAGGAAAATGCATTTTTAAGAGTAAACTGCCTCGCAACATCTAAGAAATATATTTGTATTTTTGTTATATTATTTTGACCACTGCAGCAACTTGGTGACTATTCCATACTGTCCATCAACGGAGCAACGCCAAAGCATGAAGGGAACTATACGTGTTATGTCAGCAATGCAGCAGCATCTGTTAATTATACGGCTACGTTGCACATTGACGGTAAGATTTCAGCTGGTTAAGGTTATTTAAATTTTTTTTTAAATTTTTTTTTTTTTTACATAAATTAAGTTTTCAGCATTATAATTTTGACTCTGTTCTGTGTAACAATGATGAGAACTATAATTTATTCATAATTTTTGGAAATAGAGTTTAATAACTCACATATTTATATGACAGGGTAAATACTAAGGGATTAGTTAGTTAGTTAGTAAGTCTTTCCTCTTGTGTCGAGTGCGGCACATAGGGCAGAGGTCATGACTCTCCATGCATGGCGGTTCGTTGCAATCTGTTGTAGTTCTTGAATGTTTGAGTGGCCCATGAGTGAGCCTTCCCTGATGATAGTTCTACGTAGAGTTTCCCTTGGTCTTCCACGAGATCTTTTCCCCTGTGGTGTCCAAATGAGGGCTTGGTAAGGAAGTCTTGATTTATCCATACTAAGGGATTACAACAGTGAAATCTGTCTGTCCAAAGGCATGAAGAAGATCACAGTTTTGTTATAAACATCACAAGAAAACGAAAACCAAAATAATATCTGACAAACACCATGTTAACCAAAAACTGGAATTAACAATAAGGAAATTGAAAATGCCACAAATTTTGGGAGACAAACTGCAAAATATCAGCTACATTAACAGATATTTAATTTTTTATTTTGATTCTTGCACAACAGAAAATCTAGTTAGTCTAACGAAGTTTTACATTTGAATAGCGAGACATAGAAGATAGTGATAAATAAAATAGTTGCTTGACGACTAAGATCCTGACAACTTTATTTCAGTTCCGCCAAGATGGGTAATGGAGCCAGAGGACTCATTTGTTATCTTGCATGAGTCTGTGCAGTTGTACTGTCAGGCAGATGGAACTCCACAACCACAGGTGGTTTGGAAGAAAGCTGAAGGTGAGTGCTTCACAATTTAAAACAATTTATAATTTGGACAATACAAAACAAACAGATTTTGAAGTTACACCTTCATGAAAACCGGAAAAATATTAGTCTAATTGTCAAGGTAATGTTTTGAAAAAATCCGGCTTGATGCAGATTTGAACTCACAATCTTCAGGTCCACAAGCAAGCATCTAGCCACAGTACATCATGGTGGCTCCTGAATATGTGAGAGAAGTATAATCACAGACCTGGAAATGTATGATAAAACTGCAGATTCTAGTTTTAATCAGTATAAAATTGTTTTGCATTTCTATCAAAATTATATTTTTACGCTATCATTCATAGGTCAAACGCCAGGCGACTACCAACTGCTGACCTTTGACCCATTAGAAGACCATCGTGAACTCTTCTCCAATGGAACCCTGTTAATCAACAATGCCAGAGAGGAGGATCATGGGTACTATTTATGTCATGCCAGTAATGGAGTCGGCTTTGATATCAGCAAAGTCATCCATCTTAATGTCCATAGTAAGTTGGCCTTGTTCTTCATAAAGTCATTGTCATAAATTGTGCTAATTACACAAATATGTAATTTTACAGTTTAACAGTAACATTTTTGGAGATGTAAGGATGAAGTTATTTGTGAATGCAGAGAGATGTGCCAGATTTGCAAGACGTGCAAGATAAAATGTCCAACTTGTTTGTATTAAATTTTGTTAAATATAATTATTTATTCGTTCCTGGCTGCTTTAAAACAGATTATCTGGCATCAGATGTTTGATTCAAACCATCATTCTTTTTTATATTCATTCTGCAGAAAATATTTTTGTAATAAAATGGATAAGTAAGTTAGTAAAAGATAAATTACCCTTCTTCACGCCTTCAGGCACATTGGGCGTATGGGGCTAGATCTGTATTTTATCGGCACTCTGTAGATGGTCAATATCACCCCAGCCACTTTTTTCTCATAACTTTACCTGGTACCAATTTAAGGCTGGGTCGACCTGAGAGCCAAGTTCATTTTTGAAAAAGTCTGGCTCCAATCAGGACCTGAATTCACGACCTTCTGATCAGCAGGCAAGCATTTAGCCGTGGCTCCAATCAGGACCTGAATTCACGACCTTCTGATCAGCAGGCAAGCATCTAGCCGCTACATCCTGGCATCTCCCAAATTGAAAATAACCAATATGAAAGTGTGGCCTGCTTGCGAGTCTAAATTTAACTGTTCATCCCTTTTACAGTCCCTGCACGCTTCAATGAACCCAGACATAACTACACCGTGATGAAAGGTCAAGGGATTACTATGGAATGCCAGGCTGTAGGAGACAAGCCTCTGTCGATTTCTTGGAGTTTCCAGGGAGCTCCGATCAGCTCCCACAGCAATGAAAGGTGAGTAAAAAAAATGTTTTTTTTTTTGTGTGTGGTCATTTTCTGTGCCTATTCCAGATTTAGCTAACATTGTCAATCAACACGTCTCTTACAGAACGTGGCACTCGTCACGGCACGCCTGAAAGTCTCTTTATCTAGCCAGTTCTCCAGCCCTATGTGCTTTCATAGCCAATGCATCTTCAGTGTCTTGTGTCCACAAAGGTCTGCCTCTGCCTGGTTTTCCAGAAACTACACCCTCCATCACTGTTCTCTCCAGACCAGTATGATGTCTAACATGGCTATCATTTTTTACCTTCTGGGACAGGATGTTGCTTAAAAGCCAATTCTCAATGTCTCCGACAACACAAATAAGGGGACAGAATTCTTGTTACATGTACAGTCATTAGTGGTGATCTTCCCATTTCGGTACAATGGGAGAAAGATGGCCCTTGATTCTCCTTGATGTTCAAATTAAGTAGGATGTTGATGTTTCTCTTCTTTTTGGTCCATGTGGTGTTCTAAGAATTTTACTGAAGCATTTCAATTCAAAAGCTCTGACTGTGTCTTTGCAGATTGAGTAAGAGTCCGTGACCCACAACCATAAGTTGCCACAGAAAAGAAGCATAATCTCAACATTTTTACTTTAACCGTCTTGCAAGTGTTCTGCCATAGGTTCTTTATGCTGTTTGAATTTAGCTAACATCTTTACTCTTTGTCTAAGGACAGCCCTGTGTGGGTTCTGGGGCCCCATTTTTATAGGAAACTAGAATAGATTTACTGCCCCCACCCCCCTCCAAACAAGCAAGACGCTAATTAGAGGTTTACTGAAATCAAATGTGTTGAGGTGAAAGGTACAGATATCAAAAGAAAAATAGACAAAAAGTGAAAGATATAATTTTTCTTGGAGTGTTAATAACATGCAGTGGAATTAATAGATTACTTTTATTTCATTTTTAGCATCTTCTATTTCATTATCACTGGTTGTTGTTTTTCACAGGGCTGTTGTTGTCTCTCAGTCGACTCCTCGTGGCAAGTTGTCCCAGCTGACCTTGAATCCTACAACCCGTACCGATTCTGGTTTTTATACTTGCAATGCCAAAAACAAATTTGGCAATGCTGTACTTGTCAATTACCTGCTGATTCATGGTGAGACATTTAGTTTTTATTTTATTTTTTTTTGCATTATTTTTATGAAGTTTATGTTGTCTGTTTTTTGTATGCACAATGGAAACTTGATAACACAATTGTTATTGACAATAATATATTTAAATAATGTGGTCACAAACGATTCATTGCACAGTTTATTGCCAGGCATATTTCGCTGTATCTCATCAGGCAGGTTACTACAGAGTTAAGCCAACACATAATGAAGCATAAAAATGAACAATTATTACTGAAAGCATAAATCACATTGTCAAGTTACTGTGCATCTCCCCACCAGAAATTCAAGTTAAGCCACATGATTACCATGGTAACTTCAAATTTACAATGTAATCTGTTTGTTAACATAAAGCAAGATAATAATATAACTAGAAAGTCCTTGTTCTGTGACCCGTGGGGCATAAAGTAAATAGAAGAAGAGCAAAAATCCCTTCAGAAGAGATCCAGAGACTGCGTTGAATACGAGGGAGGACATGGGATGAGCTGCACCCAAAGGATAGAATGACTTAATGCAGATTGTCAGAGGGTTTATTCTACAGTGGGATTAACTCTTTGAGTCCTAAGGAACGCATCATACATTCATAGGTTCCTACCTAGAAGCCCAATGAACGCATGATGCCCCGATTTTATTAATTTTGTTACTACCCCCTGGGCCTGTGATGCTAAACCCCCTGGAACTCAAAGAGTTAAAAGGCAGGATAAGATGGGGATAGCGAAGTAAAAATATTTACCGTACAGTTAATATACATTATTGTTTTGATGTTTATCATTACATTTCATTCAGTACTTATGTGTTTCATTTATGTTGTTTACCAGAGCCCCCGGAGCCTCCAGGAAAGGTGGAAGTTGTGAATGTGACCAGCCGAGGTATTTTCGTATCTTGGCAAACACCATTTGATGGCAACAGCCCCATCATTGGTTATACAATTCAGTACAAGAACGACACAGGTTAGTGATACTTCTTAAGTCAACCAATCATACTTCTCAAGTCAAAAATTCATACTTCTCAAGTCAACCAATCATACTTCTCAAGTCAACCAATCATACTTCTCAAGTCAACAAGTCATACTTCTCAAGTCAACCAATCATACTTCTCAAGTCAACCAATCATACTTCTCAAGTCAACCAATCATACTTCTCAAGTCAACCAATTATATTTCTCAAGTCAACCAATCATACTTCTCAAGTCAAAAAATCATAATTCTCAAGTCAACCAATCATACTTCTCAAGTCAACCAATTATATTTCTCAAGTCAACCAATCATACTTCTCAAGTCAAAAAATCATAATTCTGAAAGAAATCATACTTCTCAAACAAAGCCTACTTCTCAAGTCAACTAATCATTCTTCTTAAGTCAATAAATCATACTTCTGAAAGAAATCATACTTCTCAAAGCATACTTCTCAAGTAAATAAATCATACTTCTGGAATAAATAAATCATACTTCTCAACAACAACAAATCATACTTCTCAAGTCAACTAATCGTACTTAATAAACAAATCATACTTCTCAAGTAAACAATTTTAAAAAACAAATCATACTTCTTAAGTAAACAAATCATGCTTCTCGAACAAATAAACTAGACCTAAAAAAAATCGTGCTTCTCAAATAAACAAATCCAAATTCTCAAATAAACAAATCATACTTCTCAAGTAAACAAATTTTACTTCTCAAATAAGCAGAAACAAGGGTGTTGACATAGGTAACGTCCTGGATCTTCTAAGATCTAATAATTAAATTCTGGTTGATCGTAGGGAGCCACCAAGGTTTAGCGGCTAGACGCTCGTCTGCTGATCGATGGTCATGGGTTCAAGTCCTGACGAAACCTGGCTTCTTTTTTTTCTTTTAAATGGCCTTGGCTGCCAGGTCAGCACAACCTTAAATGGGTCCCAGAGAACGTCCTGGGAAGTAAAGGTGGCCGGCATGATGTTGACCACATCACCTAACAGGTGCCGATTGGTCTATAAAATAAAGGTCTACCATAATATGCCGAATATGCCTAAAGACATGGGAAAAGGGTCCCTTACTGTCACTGGTTGACCCTTACTGTCACTGGTTGACCCTTACTGTCACTGGTTGACCCTTACTGTCACTGGTTGACTCTTACTGTCACTGGTTGATCTGCTCTGAAAGGTGCTAAAAGGGCTTGAATCTGACCCATTATTAAAGCACCACCATGTCTCCGGAGCCGTATATCACTTCTTCAATGTTATACTTCATGAGAAGAGAAACAAATTGAACGTTCTGTTTGTTTGTTTGATTTACAACTGCAAGGATTTATGAAAGAGAGATAGGGGGTGACAGCAGGACAAGATTCTTGATGTTCTTTTGTGGTGGCATGGATGGGCGGCAGCACGTGAATTGATTGTTTCGGGAATAATTGTTTGTTCCCCAGTTTTTCAAATGGAACAGCGAGGGATGTTTTATTTGATTTTCACTGCACAGGAACAGAGCAAGTATGGGGAAACCCCGATTGCATTGAAGTTGAAACCTTGACTAAGACTGAGACTAAGACATGAATTAATACATCCTGTGTTTAATTAAAAAGTTGGGTTGAGTGGAATCAAGAATTGATATCACAGCACTCGGGGCATTCCTATGTGTGCTCCGTCCGCATCTTCAGCAACCAGCACAGAGTTCCAATACTGTTGGTACCAATCACAATCTGGTTATATGTCCGTCTTGCCTTTCCTTTGAGTGTAGTGAGTCGGCCAGACCCTCTGGTTACACCCAGGTGCCTCATTCTCTCTAGGCCATAATAATCTTTTTTTTTTTTCTACTTCCGTTGCTTGTTCCCAAAAGAGCCTTGACCACATCTGCCTTGTCATGTATCAATTCACGACTCAGTGGTGCAGATCCAGCCAATCTGTCTGCCTGTTAATTAGCCACTACGCCGGCATGGCCTGGAGAAAAGATCTCAAACAGTTGGGAGATGCATGTTTGCCCTATACTCTTCAGCAGAGCAGTTGATGATGATAGTGATGATGCAGGATCTATCATGTGTGCAGATTGTAACATCATAAATTGCTTGTTTTCAGAAATCTGGCAAGGACTACTTCCGAATATCACCGTGGGCAGGTCGCAGCAGTTGGCTTTGCTGTCGAACTTACTTCCATCTTTCAGGTACCACATCCGAGTCCTGGCAAATAACTCTGTCGGATACAGTGACCCTAGTGAAATTGTCGAAGCTCAGACAGAAGAAGAAGGTATATCAAATGTTTGTTTTTTTCTTTTTGTGTTTGGTTTATTGTTTTCTCAAGTTTAGTTTGATTTTATGTATAATTGTTTACTCTCCCTCCTCGCCAAATCTATTTGTCTCCTCTCTCCTCTTCCGTCTAGCTCTTTCAATCTTCCTCCTTTGTCTGCCTCTTCTTACCTCTCACTCACCCTCCTTTTCTCATTTTCTTTCTCCCACCCTCCATCTGAGTTCTCTTTCCATCTACATCCATCTCTCTCTCTCTCTCTTTCTCTCTCTCTTTCTCTCTCTCTCTCTCTCTCTTTCTCTCTCTCTGCCCCCCCCCCTCTCTCTCTCTCTCTCTTGCTATATATTAGTTTGTCATTTTATAGACAAAACAAACTTGATGTTAACAGATGTAAATTTGGCCAGTTTTAACAAACAGTCTTAACAAATACTATATACAGACATAAAAATAACATAAACAACAGCAATACTCTCCAGTGTTTTCATGTTGATGGATGTCTCACATTAATGGCAATTTTATCCTAATGAATGTGTTATGTTGATAACTGTTGTATGTTGATGACTGTTTTATGTTGATGGATGTTTTATGTTGAGGAATATTTCTAATTGGTTAACTCTTGTTTTCCTTGCAGCACCTAATGGTCCACCTGACAGGGTCACAGTACAAGCAGTTGGCTCACAGGCACTGAAAGTGATCTGGGAGGTATGTGTGTCAACTGTTAATGATGAGGATGAAGATGGGGACGGATCATGCATGGGAATGCCCCGAGTGCTGTGATATCAATTCTTGATCAACGCAACTGTTAAATTTAGATCTTTTCACAGCTGTCATTATGTATAATCTTATTCCTCTTCTTCTTCTTCTTTTTCTTCTTCTTCTTCTTCTTCTTCTTCTTCTTCTTCTTCTTCTTCTTCTTCTTCTTCTTTTTTTTCTTCTTCTTCTTTCATTCGCTTGAAATAGATTATCTATATCTTTAATGTTGTTTCTAGTATAAACTTCACTGTCTTCTATAATTCAGCCAGCAACCCGTAAAGTTTGGCTTGCACCGATGTTTCTCTTGGCCAAAAGTTTTGCCTTGATATGTTTCATTTGGGACAGTCGTGGAGGACAGGATCTGTTGTCTCAGGTGTCAGTCCACATGTGCACATGGCTGATTGGCCAATCTTTTATTTTATGTAATTTTGTGTGGTTGTGAAGTTGACCGTTTTCTGTTCTAAGGTGTAGAATAATGACTTGCTCTGGTCTGTATGTATAATGTGAAGGCATAAGAGAGCTAGAGAAGAATAGCAGCTAGAGCAGTGGTTTTGATCCTGGAACCACACACTTTCGGGGAAGAGTTGCAAGGAAGTTCAGGGGGGGGGGGGGGGGGGGGGGGGGGGGGGGGGGGGAGTCAAGCAGTTTTGAAAATGAATGCTTTTGTAATAATCTGTTATACTAATATTTTTTTCCAGTTTAGTTATAAATTATTATTATTTTTTTTTTACTATTTATAAAATCATCAGTATATACTATAAAAACTTGAACAACCGAATATAATTGATAGGCATCAATATCCATTATTGAAATAGAAAAAAATTTATAAATTTTAATTATAACCCTGATGGGTTGAACAGGATATTGTTGTTTAAATTACTTTAGTAATGTTATTCTGTACTCAGTCACCATTGACATAAATGTAAATTCTACTGTTGTTCTGTTTGCAGCCACCAGTGATTGGCTTTCAGAATGGCAAAATTCTGGGATATTACATCGGTTATAAAGAAACTCAAAGCCCAGCCCAGTTTATTTATGAGACCCATGAAGTGCAAGCTGGCGCAGAAAAGAGAGGAACTGCTACTGAACATACCATCAGCAAGTTGAAGAAGTTTACACAATACACAGTTCATGTGAAGGCTTACAACATCAAGGGCATCAGCCCAGCCTCCGCTAATGTCAATGTATTCACGCTGGAAGATGGTGAGTGCACAAAATGCATTCTTGTGTTGGTCTTGTTCTTCTTGTTCTTCTTCTCCTTCTTCTTCTTCTACTCCTCCTCCTCCTCCTCCCCCCTCCTCCTCCCTCCTCCTTCTCCTTCTCCTTCTCCTTCTTCTTCTTCTCCTCCTCCCCCTCCTTCTCCTCCTCCTCCTTTGTGTCTACCTGCTGTAAACTGTGTCAGCCATTTTTGGACTTTAATCTCATTTCAGAACTTGAGTTTGTATGTAAATCTATTTTACAGATTTGGCTTATTTAAATGCAGACTGCTGGTTCCTTGCCTCTCAGGCAGATATACTCCGTTTTCGAAAGAAACCCCAAATTAGTTGACTCTTGCAATGTGCTTGACATAAAGTGGGTCTGTTCTTGTCCTGCCAGTGGGGTCTAGGAACCCACACAGGGAGGATATTATTTCAATACAGAGCTTCTGGGGAGACTGGCAGTAAAAAGAGAGTCGCAGAAGGAAATTTAAAAAACAAAAGGAAAGGACTAGTGAAGTTTTTGGGTCATATTAAGAGATCTAACACTTTATAAAATTATACTGGTGGAAAGGGGGAGTCAAAGGTTAGGAAAGTGTCTATGATAGTCATCATCATCATCATCATCTCGTAACATTGGGCATCATTGGATCACCAGTTGTTGTTGACTGTCTGATCAGCTCCTTCCACCTTTGATGGTCAGATGTACTTGACTTCATGGTTGCATTCCTGAGGCCTGCCCGGTCAGTCAGATTCCTCTTCTTCTTCTTTTGTTCGCTTGAAATAGATTATCTATATCTGCAATGATGTCTCTAGTATGAAAGTCAAATTCTGTATCCTTGTCTTTCTTGGTCTGCCTCTTACCTCTTCCACCCTGTACTTTGAAAGTGTTATTGAGAGGCCATTAGTATAGTAGTGCTGAAAACATAGGCTTTAAAAAGATGCCAGTACTGCATTTCACCAGAACAAAACCCTCATTATAACTAATGTTAACAATGTTATTTTAACAAACTGCCTGTTGTGTTAACATTAAATAACAACTTTAACATAGTATTGATCACTGAATACCTAGCATTTTAGCTCACTATCACATTTTCATTCGCATACGAAATATAACACAACAGTAACTCAAAAATCTCACCGATTTGTTTCTGCAGTGCCCAGTCAGCCACCTGAAGGTGTCCAAGCCTCCGCACTGAGTTCTGACAGCATCAAAGTAGCATGGTCACCTCCACCTCTTTTCACATTACATGGCATTTTGCAGGGCTACAAGATTCTCTACAAGCCTGTGAGGCTGGACGAAGGTTAGTTAAACCATAGTTGGTTTCAGATGTCACAAATACATTCAAGTATTACATGCAGATTTCTGTCATCTGAACGACTGCTGGGCTATTTTAAGAACATTGAGAGTGAATCCAGTGATGCCAGCACCAAATCTTCTTCTTCTTATTCTTTGCAATCACTGGCTGTCAACTCCGGCGGAAAGTCTTGGTTGGTTCATTCACCTCTGTACTTTATTCTAGTTCCAAAACCTGAGTGTTACATGCATATCCGCTTTACAGATCTGTATGCAGACTGGTGGTTACTTGCCTCTGAAGCACTCTGATTTCAAAGGAAGCTCCCATTAAGTCGAAACCTAAGACATGCTTGTTTTTCCCACACTGGGGCCCTGGAATCCACATAGAGAAGAATAAAAGTGAGGATACAATAGCAATGGTACTTACACATACTGATTAAACATTTGTGTTTATTCACGTTTTTGTTTTGTTTTTTTACCGAAAATATTGTGAATTTGTGTTTCAGATGAAAGTGATGCCAATTTCCAAACGTCATCCCAGTTGGAGATTGTTTTGTTTGGTCTGGAAAAGTTTACTAACTACAGCATCCAGGTGCTGGCATACACCAGAAAGGGAGAGGGGGTTCGGAGCACATCTGTTTATGTCAGGACAAGAGAGGATGGTAGGTTTGGTTAATTCTAGGCGTTTGAAAAATGTGTTGTACATGTTATGTCAAGGTATTAAAAGATGGTAGGTCATTCCTAACATCAGATGGACAATGTGTGAAGGAAATTAAGAGCAGAATTGTCCAGGCAAAGGCAGCATTTTAGAAGATGAAAAGTATTTTATGCAATAAATCATTCTCATTAAACATCAGAAAACGAGTATGGAAATGTTATATCATATCTGTTCTGTTGTATGGCAGTGAATCTTGGAATGTGAGCAAACAAATTAAGAAAGTTTGGAGCCAAGTGAGATGGGGTTCTTAAGAAGAATGTTGTGAATACCTTTGGCTGCCAGAATAACTAACAATGAATGCCTGGAAATGGCCAGTGAAAATAGAATAGTATATACAAAAATGAGAAGAAGACAAACAGGCTCTTTGGTCATGTGATAGAAAACGAGCACTAGAAAATATCCTGAGGACTGAAAAAATCACTGGTAAGAGAGGCCCGGCAGACCCAAAGAAATTATGGTGGATGGCTTAAGACCAAAGACCAAGATCTGTGAAGCTGCGTAAATGCCTACGCCAGCTAGCATTTAATGAAGATGAGGTCATGTTATTTTTTTGGGATGTCTATGTAAAAACTTATCTCCTACACAACATGTAAGTTGCAGGAATGGGATGACAAATTAAAATCGTGATTGACTGGATTGAGGAAAAGTTTAGATCAGCTTTAGACAGTCGTAGACTTTGAGTCACGTCAAAGCAGTTCAGTAAATCAAAGAATAGTCAGATGCATACAAAAAAAAAATTTCATCACTATCATCACGTGCCTTGCTAGATTGCAAAGAAATTTTTATCTCCCAAGATTTCAGTTTTTTACCAAAAGTTAGAAGTACAAGATCATATTATGTGATAATTTAGAATCACTGGAAACAGCAAAATCACACATTACTTGTAGTTTTGGACTAAAAGAGAAAAGATAACCACATTTTAATAGAAAGACATACTTCACTCAAATACACACACACATGCGCATGTAAGTGCACACCACATGCACACACATGTGTGCACACACACACATGCGCATGCACACACACACACACACCATACACACACACATGTATATTTCCTGGGGAACTTTGTCAAAGCTGACAATGTTGTTTTGCTGTCTTGTAATCCAGTCCCAGATGCCCCCGCAAACATCAAGGCCCTGGCCACAAATGACAGCGCCATCATGGTATCATGGACTCCGCCAACAAGACCCAACGGTGTCTTGACCAAATACTCGTTATATTTCAACAACCAGAGTTCTCCAGAGGTAAGTTCTTTATTGTGTAATCACCTAAAAAAGATTAAAGATTATCGACTTCATTTGGATCGACTTCATTACTTCAGGTTTTATCCCGTATGGCTTGGTCTCTCTCTGCAGAACGGCGAGAGCATGGCACAAAGCATGAACTCCGTAGCTCTAGCAATGATCAGCAGGGAAGTCCATAAAAATTGCACTCATGAACTGAACTACGCGGCTGTGAAATGAACCATGACCTTCAGATTGCGAGGTAAATGGCTTGACCACTTCACCACTCCACTGAGACCCCCTGTGTAGTCACCTACTTAAGTCAAGGTGAAAAGGTCAAGTCGGGAGATGTGAACCAGCGTCATTGCACACGGTTATAAACCATAAGTGCTCTGCCACCATTACGGACAGCTGATAAGAAACTCTCTGCCTGTGTCGACGTTCGCACGTAACTCTGTAGCTACAGCGACATTCCTCCATTTACCCCAGAGTGTTAACTCTGATACTCATTTTCTAGAGGCTGAGTGAACCCCGGGAACCGTCCGGTTTCAAACACCAGCCTTGGACTGCAGCGAGTCTTGAAAGCGAGTCTCCTATCGACTATGCTGACACGGCCTCTGCTACTTTAGTGTAAGATTTTAACACCTCCGTTCCCCCCCCCCCCCAACCCGTTAGACCCTTTGGAATAAAGTTTGTTCATTCATTCATTTGTTCGTTTCTCTCTGCCTCCCTTTGTCTCTCTTTCTCTCTCTCTCTCTCTCTCTCACCTTGATGTTTGTTTACATGAAAATATCATGTGTGTTGCCAGGTGGAAGATGTTGTCATTGACCTCCCCCCAAATGTCACCCACTACATCATGGGAGGTCTGTCGCGGGGAGGAGAATACGCTTTTCGTGCCTCAGCATCCACAGTGATGGGAGAGGGGAGGACCACAAAGTATATCGGATCTAGCACTTTACTCGTGGGTAAGTGGACAAACTTTACTTGTGGGTAAGTGGACAAACTTTACTTGTGGGTAAGTCGACAAACTTTACTTGTGGGTAAGTGGACAAACTTTACTTGTGGGTAAGTGGACAAACTTGTGGGTAAGTGGACAAGTCACATAAAACGATGGTTGTTATTATTTTATGCTAATTATTCTGCTGTGAATCACCAAACAGGCGCGGAAATTAGAAATCAAGGATTGAGGAAGCGAGGGCATCTGAAAAAAACTCTAAAATGTTGTTGGTGAGAGAGGCCAGAGGCATTGGACTATATTCCATTCTTCCTGTGTGGGTTCCGGAGCCCCATTGAGAGAGGAAGAAAAAAAAAAGAATAGACACACTGTCCTTTAACAAGTATGTACATCTGCCTGAGAGGCGAGAGACCATCACTCGGCATACAAATAAGCGAGATCTGTAAAACGGATGTGTTAACAGAACTCTTGTTCTGAAACAATACTAAATTCCAAAAATGGACAAACAGCCATAACTTTCCACTGAAGTTTACAGCTGTTGAATATGAAGAAGCAGAAGAAGAATTCCATCCATGTTATCGAAGGGATTACACAGGAGGGAGTGGAATGGAGGAGTAGACTGCAAGCCCTCTGTGACATATACTGGCAAAACAGGATGATGATGACGAGGAGGAGAAACATGATAATATTATGTAATTACTTGTTATTTATCACTTTGATTAGTCGCTGGCCAGGTGGTTAGAATACTAAACTATCATGCAGGGGACCATGTTTGATTCCTTGTTAAGTTGATACACTTTTTTCTGTTGGGGGCAAAAATGAACGTCCTAACTTGTTTGTGAGGATGTTGTAGCCATGCAACCTTCCTGTATCCCCACTTTTCTGCCAATTTTCTATCTCCTACATTGCTCTCCAAAATGGTAAATACATGCAGTATGGCCAATTTGTTTTTTAATTCATTTTTTCATTGCTGTATCATTCCTCTTCTTCTTTGATCCTTTTGTCAGAAAATGTATACAGGAGGCCGGTAGCCTTGGCGAAAACTGTCGTGCAGTCCATATCTTCCTATGTACTATACAGCTTTAGCTTTGTCTTCATTTAGGTTGGAATTGGCCAGAGTGCTTCTGTATTAGTGTATCTGTGACTACTTAGACTTTTGTTGCTATTTTAATTTTTTTTTTTTTATATGCTGTGAAGATATTAATATGGTTAATGCATCTGACAAAGTTTGATCAAAGTTTGACATTTTAGTAATTTTTTTTTTTTAATTTTAGCCCCAGCAAGGATTGCCAGTTTTTCCGACATTCTGACAGTTTTGTGGCATGAAGATGTTACACTGCCCTGTATCACTGTCGGCAAGCCAAAGCCAACAGTTCAATGGAGAGTCAGGTATCAGCTGTTTTTTTCTTCACGTCGTTATTCCAAGTTACACATAAAGTTGCTATCCTAGTGTTAGCCAAAAATATCCACACACAAAATTTTAACACTGCAATGGCATAGTAGTTTGCTTACTAAGATAATGGTCTGTCTAGTGCCTTTCAGGCAGATGCTCTCTGACTTTGAAGGAAACATCAGTAATTAGTTGACTCTTATGACAAGCTTTGGTGCTTTATAAATATCCTACCCCAGATGACGTCACAGGACAGTCCAACATTTTAGAGGGTGGTATGACTGAGTTTCCTGGCTTTCTGATGCTTTTAATGACCCCAAAACATATAGAACTGGCCCTAACACCAACCCACCTACATCCCACGAAAGAGTGCAACCTAGGTCCCACGACTGCATGTAGCCTATCTGCCACCCCCTGAAATATTAGACTGTCCCGTGACCCCTGGATTTCCCCTGTTTGGGGTAGGATGATAATAAAGCACCCAAGCTTTTAGAGGACAGTGGGTTTGTTCCATTTTTTGCTACAGTGGGGTCCTGGAACCCACAAGGAAAACAAAAATACATTGAATACAATAAACAGCATACATTATCTTTTTACTTGCCAGGAACATTTTTTTTTCTTTTTTAATGTGAAAATTTTTTAAGATCACCTATGTAGTTATTAATTATTGTTCAAATACAAGTTTGTTCAAGAAGATGACATGTTATTGCATACTGATGCCTTTTCAGAAATCAGCCAATCAGTAACTCTGAGAGATTTCAAGTGAATGAAGATGGCTCATTGCACATCTCGTCCGTGACGGGACCCGATGCAGCAAACTACACCTGCGTTGCTGAGAACCCACATGGAACGAGTCAGATTGTCTTCACCATTCGTGTACAAGGTCAGCAGTCTTGTTCCAATACAGTTTCTCATATTTTTTTATTCCCTGCTTTTCACATTGTTTTGTTCCATTAAATTTGTTCAATTTTTTATTTTTACACAGTGATTCTTCATGTTTTATGATTTAATTTCTGCCCATGGATGTATACTGGTAGTGCAAGTTTTTTATTTATTTTTTTCTTTACATGCTCTACAATAAATTAAAAATTAAAATTGTTGCTGTGGTCAGTGAGACATTTCATTGAAATTGAGCCCAGAACTTCCATTTTTGAAGTGATTGTTCTATTACAAAGTCACTTACTACTGGGGTTGCCATACATCCACCATTTTGTGGATGCTCAGATGAACCTATGAAATGAGGGCACTTGCCCAAAATTGAGGAATTATTACAACCCTATATACTACTACTTTTGACACATAATCTCTGTGTCATTACATTTTATATTTTTGTGTATGCAGTTACTTTTTGCACACATTTTCTTTTTATTTTATTACTTTTCATGTATAGTTATATAATTTATCTTAAGAACTCTTGTTTCACAACTTTTTTAACTTTTATTTTATATTTTTACCATGTCACACTAGCTTTGAAAGTTTAAGTGAGCTTATCATTGTAATACAAACTATGGCTTCAAATCAGACACAGAATAAAAAGGTGCAAATCTTATTGTTATTGTTACTCTGAAGTTCATTATAGTGTACATAATGTTTCAACACAATGATTATTTGAGTCCCACACTATCCTGTGATCATTAAGAAAGCAAATAGGAACATTTGAGCTGAAGTGTTACAGAAAGGTCCTCAGAATACTATGCACCAAAAAGAAAGTAATTATTGACATCCTAAAAAGTTTAAACATCCGGAAAAATTCGCTCTTAACTCTTTCAGTCCCTAGGAACGCATCATACTTTCATAGGTTCCTACCTAGAAGTTCAGTGAAGCACGATGTGCTGATTTTTGTCTCTCTTTACCACCACTTAGGCCTCTGTTGCTAAACCCCTTGAGACTGAAAGAATAAAACAGTATCTTTTTCGGAAACTGAAATATTTTGGTCATATCAAATGCCATGGTGGATTGGAAAAAACAATAGCAGTGGGCATGGTACTGGGCGAGTGGGGCAGGGGCAGACCAGCATGAAGATGGGCACAGGATAGGAGACACCTTGGGCAGGAAAGTACACGAGGCGGGAGATCTGGCAAAAGACTGGGTTTCTTTCAGGCAGGCTGTGATGGGAGCGACAAAGGACCTACTAGCCAGTGAAAGTGACCGTGAGGCAGATCTAGGGTATTTGAGACAGAAAAATTACTCTTTAATGATTTGATTTGATTCAAGAACCGACATCACAGCACTCTGGGCATTCCCATAACTGCTCTGACCCCATCTTCAGCAAAGAGTTCCGATAACTAATGGTGCCAGTAGCATTCTGATTAAACGTCTGTGTTGCCTTTCCTCTGAGCCTCGAGCATCTGCCAGAACCTCCTGCCACTCCCCCCTGCATCAATCTCACCAGACTGTGGTGATCCATCTGCTCCTCCGAACTGTACACGCTCTCCCACAAGGCACTAACCACGTCTGCCTTATTATGCATCAGTGTTCCACCAAGTTGTGCAGAGCCAGCTAGTCTATCTGCCTGTTCTTACTCTTTAGATTTGTAGGATATTAATATTACTCACCTTCATGTTCCATGATATTCTGAGAATCTTTCTATAAAATTTTGCCCCAAATGCTCCTATTTTCTTTCTTAATGATTAGATGAAAAAAAATGTTGTCACCTCTCCGTTGAAGCACTACACAAACTAGCCCAAGCATTCATTGGCTGTTGCATTCTCTTCATCAATGATTGGGAAATGTTCTAAAATTTATAGATTCTGTGTTGCCTTACTGTATTGTGTAGTTATGTTGATAAATTCCATTCTTTATCTCATTTATATATATATATATATATTTATATATATATATTTTTTTTTTTTTCAGTTGGCGATCCTAAAGGAAGTAAGTATCTAACTGCTATTTTTAAGTAGAGATGTAGCATTTTTCCAATGTAATCATTCTTGTCTAGGGACAGCTGCTTGCTAGCAACTTCATAGGCTAATAATATTCACTGTTATTTTTCTGCAATACTAAATATAGTCAGTGGGAATTTTGTACAGGAATTAAGTTAAGAACCCTTTTCACACCAATGATGTCCCCTTGTGGGTTCCGGGGCCCCATTGTGGGGAAAAAAAGAATAGACAAATTAATCTTTTTTTAAGTGACCTGGGGGCTGTGATGATGCGGTAGCTTACCTGTCTGCTCAATGGTCAGAGGTTTCAACCCCCTGTTTTTTTGTTTTTTTTAAACTTACCACAACTCCTAATTTCTTCTGTTTCTTATTCTCTTCCTCTAATATCTTGAGCTGTAAGAATTAGTAAAGTATGAAAAGGAGATAACAGACGAGACAAAGATAGAGAATGACAACAAAGAAGAATGAAAGAACATGGGAAGGATAGAATAGTAATAGGAGTATTTTCACAACAATCATATCTAGTTCAAATTTCAGGGTTATAATTGGGATATACAATTAAATGTCCCTTGTAATTTTACTGCATACTTTACTATTTTTATATACCATATAATCATTTCTTTCAGTCATTTCAATAAGTCTGAGGTCAAGGATTGGTAAGAAAAAGGAAGGTCAAAGCAGGGCATAGGGAAAGAGGAGCAGTAGAAAAAGTGAGGTGTACTTTTCTAAAAAATATCTTCATAAATTTACTGATGTGTTTACTTCATTGTTTATGTTTGTGTACCTGCAGCTCCTCCACATCCTCCTCATCTTTACCTGGTACTGACCACTACAACAACAATTCAGGTTAACTGGTTGTCTGGCAGCAATGGAGGCAGCCCAATACTGGGTAAGTTATACATGTTGTTGGATGAGTTATACCTGATAATGAGTAAGTTATAAACAGTGTTGTTGATTATATAAGATTTGATTATACCTGATAATAGCTATGTGGAACTTATCATAAATATGCCCACACAATGAGAGTTCTTTCCCCTCTTATTCATGCCAAGCTGCAGTTCTGGGAGGGAACTGTTAGTGTTGGCACATCTGGTGGCTGCCTTGTGCACACACAGCTGTTCCTGTAAAGGTATTCTAAAAATAGGAGTTATTGTAACAAACGAGTCTATTAATACAAAACTAGAAGGAAGTATGAAAATAATTGACTGTGTCAACAAAAAGAAAGGATAGGGTTAGAAGCTTTTAACAGAACGTGTATATGTTAAGTAATTAAATATTTGTTTTGCAGGCTTTCTTCTGAACTACAAGAAAGAACACAACGGCTGGAAGTCTTTGACTCTAGGACCTCAGAACCGGACATTCATTGCCAACAACTTAATGTGTGGCACACAGTACAAATTCAACATCCATGCTTTTAACAAGCTGGGTGACAGTTTGGATTCTGAGACTGTCACAGCGCGGACAAATGGTTCTGGTATGTTTCTGTGCACTTGTTAACTTGTTCTATAAGTTTCTGTTAGTTGTCTGAGCTATACTGGTATGTTTCTGTGCATTTGTTGACTTGTTCTGTAAGATTTTGTCAGTTATTTGAGCTATGGTATTTGTTTCAAAACAAATCAGAACCTAAAATAGTTATTGAGCTTGTCAAGGGAAGTAATTTTGGTAAAGGGGAGATAAGAACTATAAAATAACCGACAGAGTCACCAGTTCTGGGCCACTAATGTTGAGCTTTGGGAGAGAACTCAACAAATTTCATTGAATCAGGAGGTTAAGAAAAGATGCTGATGTGGCATAGGACACATGTTGAAGAAACCTGGGAACAGAATAACTAGAATGTCACAGCAGTAGAAACCCAGAGGAGCATAGATATAAAGGTAGACCAAAAACAACACATAGAGAAGGAATTTAGAGAGTGAAGTTAAATAGATAGGACAGGTGATGAGCTGTATGCAATAGCAAAGGATAGGACGACTTGGCGTGAGTTGGTTGAGTGCCCATGCTCCACTATGGGATGGATAAAGAGCAGAAGAAGAAGTAACAACGTCTAGGGCCAAGGACCCAATACTCACTTCTATGCCAGGTTGTATTGTAAGAACTAGACAAGATGAGAAAACAAAAACACAATCCTTGAGGGTAACCAAGAACAATCAAAGAGGGCATACAGCTGGCCTCATGTCCTCCTTTTTATCAGCTTCACTCTGGAGCTTCTTTCTCCGTACTCACCTTGAAGCCGCTCTCAGAGTTGTGGTCTAGCCATAGTCTGGCTAACTTTCCAAGGATTGCCATGTTTCTCTGTGGACATGCAACTTAAATACTGGTTTTACATACAGTACTTTTCTTTTAGTTCCCCCCATCTCGGGGCTCTGGTACTTCATGGGGAAGTTTCTGGGAAAGTTTAATATTATGTGGGGGGGGGGGGAGGGTTAGGGTTAGTGTTAGTCAGCCTTCATTTAACACCCCAACACCCCTATACTGTTGGACTTTCCCAGAAACTCCCCGCGAAGTCTCAGCTTCCCTAAAATGGGGTGAACTAAAAGAAAAGAACCTTACATACTCCATAGCTGCTGCCTGGAACATGGGAACTGTGGAAAAATTTAATCTTTTCTGTAAGAAATACAAAATTCCCAAGTGCTATATATTTGTTTATCTGAGTGTATACGTATGTGTGTTTCAGAGAGGCAGAGGGAAAAAGAATTATTTGGTTGTTTGACAAATATTATTTATAGCCTCATTATTATAAACATATATTTTTCAGCTCCCATTGCACCCCCTCAGAGCATGCTACTGGCCTCTGTGAATGCAACGTCTGTGACCCTTGACCTGACCTCCTGGCAGACATCTGGCTGTCCTATCAGCACATTCTCTGTTCGTTACCACGTGTGGGGAGATGAAATCTGGCAGCTGGTTAATAATAACATCCTGCCAAACACTGTAAGTGTCTTGATCTTTTGAAATTTTTTTTTGGGGTCTGCTTTTACATTTACATTTGGTCTGTGTGTATGTAATGAGTCATTTTCTCTTTCATGTCTTATTTTCGTAAACTATGCAGAATAGGTGGTCTTAGGAATTATGTATGAGTGAATAGACTGAGTGTCAAGTTGAAGTAAACATGAACTTTACGAGGCAAGCACGAAATTTGCGTAGGTGGCCAAAAGTTATGAGAAAATGGACAGGGTATATTTCACATGAGAATTCTAGAAGGAAGCTGAATTTAATTGACTTTTACTGCATATTTGTTAGGGACAGAGGGTGTGTTTATGTTTTCCCTCAAAACTGGGTCCTTGCCTTGAATCCACATGGGGAAGACCCTACTCTATCAACACAGCTTTTTGGGTCATTTGGACATACATAGAAAGAGTGAGAGAGGGTAAGAGAGAGAGAGTACAAGAGAGAGAGAAACAAAGAGGGGCAAGAGAGAGAGAGAGGGCGAGAGAGAGAGGGGGTAAGACAGAGAGAAAGGGTGAGAGAGAGAGAGGGTAAGAGCCAAAGAGAGAGAGAGAGGGCAAGAGAGTGAGGGAGAGAGAGAGAAACAGTAAGAAAACTGGATATAAAAGATTTGAACTCAACATGATAAATTCTGTTGTTGCAGACCTTACTGGTGGTGCAAGACTTCTCTCCGGCCACCTGGTATATCATGGATGTTGTTGCACATAGTGATGCAGGCTCCACCTCCACACAGCTCAAGTTTGCAACTCTCACATTTGCTGGAAGTATGTCTAACAGTGCCTCCGTATTTATGATTGTTACATATTATTGTTACATGAAAAGATCTGAAGTGAAAGCAAGAGACTGCCCTAGGAGAACATTTATTGATGACATTAAAGAGCTTCTACACTGACACGGCATGACAATAGACATTGCTGCCTATCAAGCAATGGATCGCAAACTGTTCCTTTCCACAATGCTGAATGGCATAAGTGGAAATTGATGGTGATGATGACGTATTTCTGTGCTGTAAAATCCCTAATTATCAGTTTGCTAGTTTAAAAAAACAAGTTCTACTTTTAGACATGAAAAACTTACAGGGGTATTCTTAAGTTAGCTTTGAAAAAGCTTCTGGAGTTTGTTGATTCTGTAAAAATAAGTGTGATGGGTTGCCGACATCAGGAGAAGTGAATAGAGAATCACCAAACAGACACCAAAGCGGGACACAAATGGACTGAGAAAATGAGAGAAATTGTGGAGCAAACATTTTTAAGAGAGGCTAAGGATGCCTGACTGGATTCTATCCATGATGTTGAAAAGATTGCACAGGATTGATTAGAATGGATGACCTTCATCTTTGTCCCCAGGGCATACGGGTGTCATTGGTAATAAAAGAGCTGATAGATTGGCCAGTTCTGCCTCTATTGCAGATGGCCAGCCTAAGGGTCATGCTGGCAATATTTATGCCCTTAGAGAAGGATTTTGGGAGCAGCATCTCTATATTACTGCTAAGGATGCAAAAATTGATAGTAAAGAGTAGCACAGCTATGCATGAGACTCACACCGGTTGTATAAGAAGTCTTGTTAACCAGCATAGGATTGGCACTATTAACCGTCGCACATTGATATGTATGTTGAAGGGGGAATCTAAGCACCTATGGGCATTTCTAGGGTGCATGAAGATTAATTAGCCCAACTCATAACTCAGAATGAGGGACTAGATTGCAAGCTTTGTATGATGTATAACTGCTCTACAGGATGATGATGATAAGAAAAACAATTCTTTACTTATTTACTTACTGATTTGTTTTTCAACAGGCACAATTAAACCGCTGAAAGTTCTGCACAAGCAGGAGGCAGAGTTCTATGAGAAAGCCTACTTGATGGTGCCAATTTGTGCGGCTGTAGTCTTCCTGTTCTCCGTTCTAGTGGCTGTGCTCTTGTTTTGTCGTCGTCGCAAAGACAGACTTAGATACAAAGGTAACATTTTTATTTTATTTTTTATTTTCTTGTTGGGTTTCAGAATAAAAGAACATTACCTGTTTGTTGTTGCTTTTTTCTTCTAATTGATGGTCACCGGCTGTAAACTTTGGCACAAAGTTCTGGTTGTTCATCCCCTTCTAGACTTTGGTCTTGCTCCAATACTTGAGTTTTGCATTCGCATCTGTGTTACAAATATGGCTTATTTTATGCAAACTGTTGGTTACTCACCTCTCAGGCAGATCCAGACTTACTTCGAAGACCAGGCCTAATAGATGGTGATGAATTTATTCTTCCCCAAACCCCCACCCTCTTTGATCCCCCAGCCTCCCTCCTCCTTTTTTAACCTCCTCACCCAACAACGAAATACTAAAACACACATGGAGACCATGCCAGATTGTTTAAATTATAGAAATTACCTGGTAGTACCCATATTTATGAGGGTGCAAGGGTGGTGTAGTGGCTAGACACTCGCCTGAAACATAAATAACAAACATTTTGGTAATTTAGTTGATCCATGTATAGTAGATCTGAACATCAAGGAAGACTGGCAAATAAACAGCATCCTTTCTCGGAAGCTGAAATATTTTGGTCATATCAAGTACCACGACAGATTGGAACAAATTATAGCAGAAGGCATGGTACCAGGAAGGAGGGGCAGGGGCCGACCGACATGAAGATGGACACAGGATATAAGTGACTCCTTGAGTATGAAAGAACATGAGGCGGGAGAACTGGCGAGAGACCGAGTTTCTTTCAGGCAGACTGTGATGAGAGCGACGTTCTGCAAAGGACCTGCTACATGATGATGACGTATAGTAGAACCTTTTTAACATGAAAAAAATATTGGTCCAAGCAGGGATGTATTAATTTGAGTTCCTAACTAGCACAGGTGTATTTTTTAACACAAGGTGTTGATTTTTCAATCCTTGGAATTCATGTTAGCGAGGTTTTATTACATAAGGAATCTAAAGAGGTATAGTGGGGGTAATAATCGCTGCATGTACAGTGAGTTGCTCTAAAATTAATTTAAAATAGTTAAAGATTTTTCATTTTGGTGTCATCAGTCCATGCATACCTGAGTTTCTGGTACATCCTACCATTACTTGTTATATAAAATCTAAAATTTCACATAGACTATGTTCTTCAGATTGTCTTTAGCTTTATTTTCTAAGAATTAAAAATGTTTCGCATTTTGTTTCTACCCTCATCTTCATTTCTGCTATCTTTCACAGAACACAATGCAAACTTACGTAGAGACATCACTGCGGAGACTTCACTTATGAATGACCTGGACAAACGCCTGAACACAGAGCTGGACAGCAGTAGTAGCAGTACAATTCCTGACCACATCAGCAAACAGAGAAATGCCAACCTGCTCATCTCCTTACAGAGTGACGATAATTTGCCAGGTAACAGCAGTGCCTGGTTGATCGATGGCAGCAATAAAACTACCAGCGACAATGGCAGTTTTGGTCGTTCAGGTTTGTGTTTTTTTTTTTTTTTTTAAATCTTCTGCTTTTTGGTTTCTGAGAGTTGTGGTGGATTATAAGGTAATTCGTCTGCTAACCTGGTGGGTTCGGGTTCCAGAAAAAAGGAGCTAGTTATTTCAGACAATCATACCATTAATTGTTACATGTAGTCTGCAATTTCATGTGCAATATAGATTCTGTCCTCAGCCAGTCTTTACTTTTTTTTTCTAAGAATTTAGATTTTTTGACATTTTTTATTTTTATTTTGAATATTTTGCATTTTTTTTTCACCTTTACTATCTGGCAAATTATTTTTACCGTTATCTTCCAAAATAATTGTATATATTTGGCAGATTGTCTTTATAATTATTTTTTCAGAATTTATGTTATGCTTTTTCTTGCAGAAGAAGAAGGGAACATTAACCCATATGCCACTTTCAATGAGATTAAACAAACTCTGAGTCCGGAAGTTCGAACCGCAGTTCCTTTGAAAGGAGCAGCCGTGCCCAAATCTTCATCCGAAGAAGACGATATCGCCATGCAGAAGGCTGTCGCAAGACGAGAGGTAAGGGTTTACAGCTGTTAGACATATGACGCAAACAGCTACTGTCATTCGTTTTTCAGATATGATCATTGGTTATTGTTATAGTCAGTTGTAGTTAATCATTATTTATCTGTGTTATTACTTGCTTACTTATCGCTCCTCGTCTACCTTCAGCTGTAGAGGTTTGCCAGACAGATTGCCAGACATCTCTATGAGCAGTTTTCTTTCTGGCTTTGTTCTATTCTGGTCCTCTGTCAGTCAGGGACTGTCGGTTATTGTCTTCATGGCACTCTGGGTCACCCTGGAGGTCTCACTAGACTCAAATGAGACCAGAAAAAAAAAACATAAACCATAAACTGTTTGGTGACTTTTTAATCAAGCAGCTTTATAATTAATTTGGTTTTGTCTTTAATTTTTAATTCAATGTAATGACAGAATCACAAATGTAGAGCACTAGGAGAGGATTGAACAAGTTCCAGTGAAATAAAAGGTGAGGAATCAAATGGTTTTAGATAGGACACATTGAGAGAAATCAAAAGGTTTCATTAATAGAGGCAGACACTTAAAAAACACAGGCAGAAGGGAATTAGAAAGTGGGGTTGGAATTTTTTTTTAAAGGATGAGGAGGACATGATGTGAGTTGCATGTGATAGCTAAGGATAGGACATGGTGGGGCTGGTTGGTTTGCTTCATTAGGGGATAAAGGACAAAAGCAGCAGCAGCAGAAGAAGAAATGGATAAAGAAGACAAGGAGGAGAAGGAGGAAGAAAAAGAAGAAGAAGAAGACTCATATTAAAGTCTACACACAAAGATGGTCATTTTCAGTTTACACAAAAGGTATTCTTCATTGTTCACTTTTCAGATGGAAGATTACCAGTCTAAACAATCCACCCAGTCCACGCCGTCTGAACCGTATGTTCCATTTTTTCATTCTAAGCATGAGAAACAGTCAAGGTCTACCAAGAAGCAGCCACCTCCACCTTTGCCAGCACCACGGAGAGTGCTGAAAGACACCGCTAAAGTACCGGAGGGGTATGATAATCATGGTATGTAGATTTATGTTGCTCGTTAGTTGTGGTAATAATTTTCTCATAGTCTCTTATCAACAAAAGAAGAGAATAATCAAATCAATCAGAAAGCCACCGAAACTGGCACAAGACGATTACCATATTATGGCAAGTCATAATCTTTGGCATTAGAACCGGACACAATCAACCTCGCAGCCACATGTACAACAAATTTCAGATTGGCAAATCAGCCATGTGCACATGTGGACTGGCACCTGAGACAACAGATCACATCCTCCAAGACTGTCCCAGATTCAGCGCTTCCAGGCAAAACTTCTGGCTAAAAGAAACACTTGTGGAAGTCAAACTTTACGGGCCGCTTAGTGAATTACAAAAGACAGTGATGTTCATACTAGAGACAGCATTGCAGATTTAGGTAATTTATTTCATGCGAACGAAAAAAGAAGAATTTTCTTATTTGTACACTGTTCTTCTTGGTACATCTTTAGATGTATTTCTAAAATAAACCCAATGCTCCTTATATTTCTTCTTGTTCTTCTTGGCATTCACCTGCTGTAAAGTCCAGCAGAAAGTTCTGGTTGTTCGTCCACTTCTCGACTTTACTCTTGTTCCAGAACTTGAGTTTTGTGTGTGCACATTCATTTGACAGATCTGAATTATTTGCAGACTGTTGGTTCCTTTCCCCTCTCAAGCACATGCACTCCAACTTCGAAGGAAACACTTTTAATTAGTAAACTTGTATTATATGCTTGTGGTGGGGGTGTCTATTCACCCCACCCACCCAAATGGGGCCCTGGAACCCACATGACAGCTTCTTAAATAAGCATGTGATAAAATGGGCAAAATAATGGCCAAAAAATGCAAATATCACAGCCTAGCTTAAACCACAACACAGCATGCCAGTCGCCCTTTTAAGAGTGAATGGAAAACAAATATTTAAAGAAAGCAGCAATCTGCTGGAGGTTTTTCTAATTATTAATCTCCTCACATCAGAAACTAAGCTCTGCCACACACACAAAAGTGAGCTTGTAGCTAACAAATGGTGTCTGCTCTTTCAGGTGTGGTGCTGAGTCCCAGACGATACGCCAGTGCCGACCAGATTCATGCTCTGTTCTCCCAGCCTTCTCGGCCACACAGCAGTACCAAGTCTGGCTCTGAGTCCACTGACAAGGGTGAGTAGAACATATATAAGATTAGATGTCTCCCTTCTTTCTTTCTTGCCTCTGTCTCTCATTTATATATATATATATATATATATATATATATATATATATATATATATACACACACACAAACATACACACGACTGCACGCACACACACACTCATACACACACACATACAAGTGCACACATACACACTGAGAGGGGTGAGTGAAGCACATTTTTCTGAACTCCTTTCTTCGCTGCTTCTCTCTCACATCATATTCTGTCACAATCACAACCCAAAGCAAAGCCAAATGTGAAACGATACAAATTGTATTTTGGTCATATAAGTATTTACGTGAATATAAATTTAATATAACAAATTAATGCTCTGAGAACTCAATTAACACTAAATATCTCAATTATAATCCTGAGAGTTGATCAGGATATTCTTGAAAAATTACTACCATTACTTGTCTCTCTCACACACACTCACGCTGATTGATCCATACCCATAAACTACAGACCCACACAAGACCTGTAAGGCCTGTTGTCATCATTGTTATTTCAGTTTGCTTTTTAGTGCTGGGTCATAAATCATACCGCGATCGAAACCCACTGCAGGCTGCATGGATTTTAGTCATGGTATGGGACGTCGCAGGTCGACCCAGCCTAAAATGGGTACCAGGATGGGCTGTCCTGGGAAAGTAAAGACAGCCGGCGTAATGCTGACCACATTACCCACAGAGTGCTGATGGTCTGTAAAAATATGGGATGCTCTGCCCATATGCCCGATGCGCCGAAAGGCGTGAAAAGGGAACTTTACTTTACTTTTTACATAATTGCTGCATTAGACCTGTCTTAAACGGTCTCCAGTATGGAGAATTAGCGTACAGCGTTTGTGACATGCTCAGTTTCTTCATTGTTGGCTTTCACTTTTGGCTCATGTAGTTTATGGAAATTATTTGTTTATTTAACTCCTTTACCCATACAGGAAGGTAGATTACTTTGAAACCATATCACTATAGAGTACCTGATTTAACTATTATATACAGTAGAACAGGGTTTATCCCTGTGTAGGTTCTTGGGCTTTATTTCAGGGAACAAAGAATACAATCACTACCCCAACAAGCATGTCATAGGAGGCAACTAAGTAGAGTTGTTTCCTTCAAAGTTGGATTGCATCTGCCTGAGATGCAAGTAACCAACAGTCTGCATATAAATAATTATGATATGTCAAACAAATATGCACACACAGCTTAAGTTCTGGATTAAGACCAGAAGTGAAGAGTATATCTGGAATTGGTTCATTTGGATATGAAAAGTTGATCTTTGAATTAATACCTAAAAATCTTGAGGTTAAAATCGTAGAGCAGTGCTATTCAGCTGGCGGCCCACAGGCCAAATCTGGCACACTAAAACCTAACTAGTGGCCCCTGATTCATTGCCAGTTGTATTGCATTGATGATATTTTTTTCTGCTGGGAGTTTGTCCTGTTGGCCCGTGACGGTTCAAACTTTCAACATTTGGCCCCTGGGTAAACATAGTGAATTGCCCCTGTCGTAGAGTGGGAAGACTGAAAACAAATATTTTGTCTCCTATTTTTACATTCAAAAACAGATTTTGATTTTCACTGTCTCTTTTACCTGTTCACACATCTTATTTTTAAAACACATTGCATGAATTCTAATCATTGACTGTTCTGGCAGGTTCCCAGCGACACAGCCTTATATCAAGCGTAACAACAGTGTCTTCAAGCAGGGATGAGTTGCTTGAGGCTTTAGAAAACGCCAAGAGGAATCCTGCACCACCAGTTTTGTATGAGAGTGAGAATGATCCTCATCACGATGGAGGCACTGAGGGTGACATAGATCCTGACTCAAGTTCACAGCCAACAGACAGTTCTGTAAGTTCAGCTGCATTTTTTTCTCAGTACTTCTTATTTATTATCACCTGCCTATGAAAGTAATGGTTACAGGAACATTTGTACTGGACAGAGGAGACATTCTGAAGACCATTTATGAATGAATCCTGATAGAAGATATGAGGTTAGATGAAATAACATGTGCAAGAGTGTGTAAACTGGGTGTTGATCTGGCAAGCATGGACGTACCAGGTAAAGAATGATGTGTGTTTAATCAGTGTGCTACAGGAACAGTTATCATCTACCCCTGAAGACATCTGCTGCGGGAGACGGAGCATCGATGGGTATGCCTGGTATGCTATGATGTCCATTTTTAAATTAGTCATCAGTATAATCATCAAGTTTCCATATGGTGTTATCCCTTCTGCTGTTCACATTTCCATCATTATTTCACGTGGTTTTTCAGGTAACCACAGAACCTGGAATTCGAATGTTCACACTTCCATCATTATATCACCTAGGTTTTTCAGGTAACCACAGACCCTGGAATTCGAATGTTCACACTTCCGTCATTATTTCACCTGGTTTTCCAGGTAACCACAGAACCTGGAATTCGAATGTTCACACTTCCGCCATTATTTCACCTGGTTTTTCAGGTAACCACAGAACCTGGAATTCGAATGTTCACACTTCCGTCATTATTTCACCTGGTTTTTCAGGTAACCACAGAACCTGGAATTCGAATATTCACTCTTCCGTCATTATTTCACCTGGTTTTTCAGGTAACCACAGAACCTGGAATTCGAATGTTCACACAGTCTCCGCCAAAACCAAACGAGCAAAGACAAGCATCATATGAGGTGCCACCGTATGAGCAGCAACGTAAGTTTTACACACCCCACACACTTTTCGGTATGCTACAAGTTTTTCATGACAAGAACTATTTTCGTTAAAAACTTGTTATATCAAAGAAGATACAAACAATGTTAACAAATATTACCAGTATGCTAACTACGTGTGAAATGCGATGTCTCCGAAGAGTCACCAACAATACACAAAGAGACAGGGTCACAAACGTCAGCATTAGAGACAAAGTTGGAACAAGAGCATGCATGAAACATATTGAAAGACAGAGAATGAAGTGGTTTGGCCATTTAATAAGAATGCAACCGGATCTTCAAAAAGAAGACAGATCTAAACATAGCAATAGAATACAAAGACATTAAACAGGCATCTGAGTTTAAATATCTGGGAACTACATTTACCGAAGATGGAAAATTGGATAAAGAAATTGACATTAGATGCAGTAAAGCAAACCAAGTATTGGGACAGCTAGCCCCCCTCTTACAGCATAAGACAATCCCAATCAGCACAAAGAGACATCTTATTCAAAGCATATTTATTCTAACTCTGTGTTACCAGTGCCAGACATGGTCACTCACAACAAACCATAAAAGAAAATTAGTAACCATGGAAATGAGATGTCTGAGAAGGGCTGTAGGAGTGACCATAAGAGATAAGACCAGGAATGAGATCATAAGAGAACAAGTCGGCACAGAACCAATTCTGGATTACATACAAAGACAGCAAGTGAAATGGTTTGCCCACTTAGAGAGAATGCCTTGTGACACCATACCATACAAAGCATACATGGAAAGAGAAGAAGGACGTAGAGCATAGGGTAGACCAAGAACAAGATGGAAGGATAACATCAGAGAAACTCTACAACAGCACGATGTGCCTATGGTCGAGGCAGCCAGAAGAGCTAGAAACAGAACCTTATATCTCCCTCGACACCCACAGCAGTAAAAGAGGAAGTGAAGAAGAAGAAGAAGCAACCGGATCAGATTGCCTATAAGGCCTTTTACAGTAGAACAGCGGGAAGAAAGGCCAGAGGAAGACCCAGGAAAAAATGGATAGATGGAGTAGCTGAATACGGCCAGAAGATCAAGAAAACTGTCACTAAAATCATGCGAGAGGCACAAAACAAATATTTTAAACCACGACACTGGGCTGCAACCCGGTAAAAGTGAAGAAGACAATAAATAGATAGATAGATTACCAGTATGCTGTCACTGAAATGAGATATATTTATGCTACACAGAGAAACGTCGGCGCCAGCAGCGAATGGAAGTAGAGAGTGACACAAATGAGTGTGAAGCTCCACCTACTTTATTGCGCAGGCCTCTGCCCCCTCGAAAGGTGCGACCCAGGCACCGGGGTAAACAGAGAGGTCAAGTGACTGGGAAAAGACCATTAGGAACTTTCATGCCAAGGTCAGTTGGTTGATTGGTTGGTTGAATGATTGGCTGGAAAGTTAGCTTGTTGATTTGGTAGCTGATTGGTTGTGTGGTTGATAGGATAACTGGTCAGTTGATTTGTTGTGTAATTAGTCAGTTGACAGGGTGACTGGTCAGTTCTTTGCTTGTGTGATTAGTCAGTTTATTGGGTGCCTGGTCAGTTCTTTGCTTGTGTGATTAGTCAGTTTATTGGGTGACTGGTCAGTTCTTTGCTTGTGTGATTAGTCAGTTTATTGGGTGACTGGTCAGTTCTTTGCTTGTGTGATTAGTCAGTTTTTATTGGGTGACTGGTCAGTTCTTTGCTTGTGTGATTAGTCAGTTTATTGGGTGACTGGTCAGTTCTTTGCTTGTGTGATTAGTCAGTTTATTGGGTGACTGGTCAGTTCTTTGCTTGTGTGATTAGTCAGTTTATTGGGTGACTGGTCAGTTCTTTGCTTGTGTGATTAGTCAGTTTATTGGGTGACTGGTCAGTTCTTTGCTTGTGTGATTAGTCAGTTTATTGGGTGACTGGTCAGTTCTTTGCTTGTGTGATTAGTCAGTTTATTGGGTGACTGGTCAGTTCTTTGCTTGTGTGATTAGTCAGTTTATTGGGTGCCTGGTCAGTTGATTGGTTTTTTTGTTTGTTTAGTTACTTAGCTGAGAGGTTAGTTGTTTGGTGTTAATCTCTTTATTGATCAAAATTTCTTCACTTTGCTTCTGCATTGGTTCTTAATAGGGTAATTGACACATTTTTTTGTCGTTGATAACTAGGATGCAATATCTGTGTCTAGTGGCCCAATACAGCTGATTTCACCAAACCTCTCTTTAGTCACTTTTCATGACACACTTGCTAGGAGAGGAGGGAGGGGGGCAATGAGTCTTTAATCCCCTTCTCCCCCCCCCCCCCAACCCCCACCCCACCCCATCCCACACCACAAAAAAGGTCCACCCTGGAATCCAATTTTCTTTTTCAATTTCTTTTACAGCAAAGGAAGGTTGATCCAGTAAAGATTGAGCAGAAGGACTGGATGTTACTCAAGGCTATTGATCAAATATTTGTGAGCTTTTAATCCAGTTGCAGCTAGCAATATCCATATGGCAATTTTTTTTGTCAACTGCTGAAGGGGATGGATCCCGTGTGTGTGAGAATGTCCGGAGTGCAGTGATGTCTGTTCCTTTGTTCATTCAATAATTTATTCATTTATTCATTCCCATGTTCGTTCATCAATTCCTTTATTCATTTAATTACTCAATCCTTCCTTCATTTATTTATTCATTCATTCTTTCATTATTTCCTTCTTCAATTAATTTTTTCATTCCTTCATTCATTCCTTTATTCATTAATTCAGTCCTTTGTTCATTCATTCTCCCTTGTTCAGGACACAAAGTGGCACAAGTACAACCAGTACAAACAGCGAAGAGGTGACTTACACATTTGGCGAACGGGCCCAGACACCTCGTTCTAACAGTCCTGGGGAGAGTTACCCCCCTTATGCCACATCAGCGTCAGTTGGCCAGGAGAGCTTTGTGGAGTTCACTTCAGAGACAGGCAGAACTCGGAGAGGTAATGCAAGCTTTTAGCTGTTCTTTTCATCCTTCTTAAGTGTTTACTCTTCTGTTTGAAAAGGTATATTTAGTCTTCACATGTTTTCATTTTAGGTGCTACATTAGCCCAATAGTTCTTCCTGTTCTTTTTTTTTTTTTTTGCATTTGCCCATTAAATTATGTTGAAATGTTTTGTTGGAGTTTGCAGCTTGACTGCAGTATCTGTGCCTTTCAGTCCAAAAAACAGCAAAAACTTAAAAAGTTACCTATGACCTGTCTCTACCTTCATAGAAGTTGGCCTCTGCCTCGTTGAAATGACAAATTAACTCATATACACTGAAAGCGTTAATGCTACTAAAAGTAAAGGACCCCTTTTCACGCCTTTCAGGCGTTTCGGGCATATAGGGCTAGACCTATATTTTATAGACCAGCGGCACAAGATGGGTGATGTGGTCAGCATCACGCCGGCTGCCTTTACTTCCCGGGATTGCACCCGGTACCCACTCAAGGCTGGGTCGACCTGGGAGCCAAGGTCATTTTTTAAAAAAGTCTGGCTCTGCCAGGGAGCAAAACAACAACCTTCCGATCCGCAGGCCAGCGTCTAGCCGCTACGCAACAGTGACTCCCACAACTGAAAGTAAAATTTCATAATAAAACGACAAACAGCCAACAAATGTTAGGGTTGGTTTCCAACATTTTGTAAAAGAATTGCAACTAACTTTTATATTCCTTCTTCATATTGCCAGGTGGTCGGCGAACTCCACACGCTAGAGTACGTTATGACACTAACATTCAAACACCTGGCACAGATGATCATCGTCCATTAGTGACTTCACTTGCACATCCTGTGTTGGCAACATCCCCAGAGGAAGAGGAGTCTGTTAGTTTGTTAGATAGGTAAGTCTGGGTTATTTTGTTTTGTGAGTGGAGTTTTCTGTTTGTCTGTTAGGTAAGTCTGGGTCATTTTGTTTTGGTGAGTGGAGTTTTCTGTTTGTCTGTTAGATAGGTAAGTCTGGTTTATTTTGTTTTGATGAGTGGAGTTTTTTGTTAGTTTGTTAGATAGGTAAGTCTGGGTTATTTTGTTTTGGTGAGTGGAGTTTTGTGTTAGTTTGTTAGCTAGGTAAGTCTGGGTCATTTTGTTTTGGTGAGTGGAGTTTTCTGTTTGTCTGTTAGATAGGTAAGTCTGGTTTATTTTGTTTTGGTGAGTGGAGTTTTGTGTTAGTTTGTTAGATAGGTAAGTCTGGTTTTTTTTGTTTTGGTGAGTGGAGTTTTGTGTTAATTTGTTAGATAGGTAAGTCTGGGTTATTTTGTTTTGGTGAGTGGAGTTTTGTGTTAGTTTGTTAGCTAGGTAAGTCTGGGTTATTTTGTTTTGGTGAGGGAAGTTTTCTGTTTGTCTGTTAGATAGGTAAGTCTGGGTTATTTTGTTTTATTGAGGTGAGTTTTCTGTTTGTCTGTTAGATAGGTAAGTCTGGGTTATTTTGTTTTGGTGAGGGGAGTTTTCTGTTTGTCTGTTAGATAGGTTTGTCTGGGTTATTTTGTTTTAGTGAGTGGAATTTTCTGTTTGTTAGATAGGTGAGTCTGGCTTATTTTGTTTTAGTGAGTGGAGTTTTCTGTTTGTTAGATAGGTGAGTCTGGTTTATTTCGTTTTGGTGAGTGGAGTTTTCTGAAGATTTATAAGAGTTCTGTGTTAATTAATTTGGTAGGGAAGTCTGATTTAATTTGTGAAAAAAGGAATCAGTCTGCATACACATAAGCTTGGCCTGTGAAATGTATGAGCATGCAAAACTTAAGCTCTGGAACAAGATCTAATTCCTGAGGTTGACGAACAACTGTAACTTTCCATTGGAGTTTACAGCAGAGGAATGCTAAGGAGGAGAGAAGAGATTTAGATTGTAAGAAGAGTTTGAATTGTTCATAAAGATAACTCTGACTTGTCATGAGATAACCCCTGCATTTTTTCCCTTCAATCCCCAGGCATTATCGGCCAGTTCCTGAAGAAGAAACAGAGATGGAAACACGCTCCAAGAAAGAGGGAAAACCAGACAAAGGATACACAGCGGACTACACAGTTGTGTAGTCTCCAGCTTTACATATCAAGCTGCATGTTCTGTGTTCATGAATAACCAACCAACCAACAACACAAATGTTGGACTAAATGGCAAATGCATCTGTTATTGCTTTGTTGCTGTGCTATCTGTGTAGATTCCCTTATGCTTGGCAGTCCCAACTGCTTCATAAGGAACAACCAGATTCGGAATATCACAATTCCTACCTGCTGCTGAGAATGACTGTGTTTGTTATTTTGCCGTTTTTACTGTGAATGCAAAAACATGTTATAAACAAGTATTCTACAAACATTCTTCAAGACGGTTAGAGATAAGTTATTTTTTGTGCCGCGACTTGTGTGCCAGGACTTGACTTTTGGGATGTATTAGTTCCCTTGTTGGCAATATATTGTTTGTGTGCTGGCGCATACATAGTGCTATATGTATGCCAATCTGTGCTGTAATATGTTGATGTGTCCTTTCATATCACAGATGTGCATCTATTTTCCACTTAATTTATATACGTACATTGTGTTTTACACACATACTGTTTCCAAAATTGGACTATGTAAACTCGTACGTCCGAGTGAATTCAGAATTACATAATCAAGATTTGTGTGTATTCTAAAATATGGAAAGTGAAAATTTCTAGCAGAAATTATTTCTCTGTGGATACATCTACTTTGGACCAACACAAATGCCATACATTCTACAATACTGGATTCTCACCTAACAAACATTTAGGTGAAGAGATAAATTAACTAAATTTATTTATTATTTTGGAATAATGGTAATATATTTGTAGATAATCCTGTGTACATAAATTGATACAAGACTAATTTTATAAAGTATCTTCATAAAATGACAAGAAAATACATTGATGATGGAAGCATTGTATTCTGTTTGTCGCTGAACTTGTTTTAAGGCTGTATTGCTTAATGTGATTTTAATGGTTTTCTTCCACAAGTGATTCATTTTGTGAACTATACACTTTGCTGATTCGACCAAACAAATCTCTACATTTATGGCAACTGCAACAAAGCAGAGCCAAAAAAACATATTGCTTGATCATTGGTAAAAACATATTTATGTGAAAAAATAGAATATAAGTGGGATTTATTCAGCTTGCAATTTTTTTTAAAAATGAATGCCTGCTTTTGTTTCATAGTTTAAATTTGTTCTCAAAATTACATGTTTTTACAGACTTATTTTTTTTTTTTGGGGGGGGGGGGGGGGGGAGATAAATTTAGGAGGTGGTTGTTTTCTATCAGTGTTTACCATTTAGAAAGTTGTTTACCATTTAGAAAGTTGTTTACCATTTAAAAAGTTGTTTACCAGTTAGAAAGTTGTTTACCATTTAGAAAGTTGTTTACCATTTAGAAAGTTGTTTACCATTTAGAAAGTTGTTTACCATTAGGAAAGTAAAATGTTGATTTTGGTACACAAAACTATAATAACATTATTTAGTTTGTGAATGTAGGATTAAAATAATTTAATACAATATTTACATGCGCCATATTCCAGCAAATTTATTTAGTCATTGAACACCCACAAAACATGGTGAAAATCAAATATAACGATCAGAGTCCAAATGTATAAAGATCAAACAAAATATTAAAATCTGATTGAGTCTTGACAATAACTAGTGCAGACCACTGGACCAGATACAACACAGCTGTTATGGCGACATAGTTTTTTTTTTTTTTGGTCATAGTTTTTGTTAACAGCATTGTACAAGGCATTTACTGCCAAATAAATTGTAGGAACTTGATATATTATAATCTGTTGAATGGAAATAGCATGGTTTTTTTTTTCATTTCCTGACAGTTTGTTACTTCAATTCATTATACCTCAGTCAGTTATTTTTAGAAAATACTAAATATCATTTCTGAAATTATTCAAGTAACAACCCAGTGGACAGAAGAAGTTTGGATATAATTACAGTAGAGAGGCAAAGTGTAACAACACAATTTATACTGCTTTCCTATGCATTAATGTTCCAGTTGAAACGTCACAAGCTAGCTTGGTTTGGACACGTGCTGAGACATGAATCGATTGCAAAGACTGTACTTCAAGGAACATTGGAAGGGGGGGGGAGTAGTTGAAGAAGAGTAGGGCAAAAAAGAATCTGGAATGACAACATCAAGAAATGGACAGGACTCAGTTATCATACACTTATTCATCAAGCACAAGACAAAGAAAGATGGTGGGTTTTTTAATGTGCTAATGCTTCCAGCAGTACCCCTCCACGGCCCTAACAGGTCGAGGTTTATGTTATGTTTCAGTATAGTTAATTCTTTCCTTTAAAAACTTTAAATTGTCAAACAAACCAGAAAAGTGGGATGGTAAACAGTCTATTAAGAGTTTGGATATTACATGCTGGGTTGCTCACAAAATAGGAAGACTGTAGCATATGCAAAGTCAGTCAAGCCTTTTCTAGCAATGTGAACACAACTAAGTTGTTGTGAATCCATTTCATCCTCCTCCATTTGTTCATGTGAATCCACTTCATCCTCCTCCAATTGTTCACGTGAATCTGCTTCATCCATCTCCAGCTGTTCAGCTTTGTTTTTTTGTACCCACATTATTATTCCAATATTTTTACATTCGACTGCATAATTTTAATAAAGAATTTTGGTCACGCTTGCAGATATGAGATCATTGCTTGTTGCTCTGCCTGTTTCTTGCTGCATTCCTACTTACATTTTGTCCATAATCACCCGTGAGGTGCCAGCATGTATGTTTTCATTGTATGTGTTTTTTTTTTTATTGTCATATCTTGTTTATGCATTATTTTTTGTAATTGTTTGTGAATAGACTTTAATTTTAGAGACCTTGTTTATGATACAACCTTTGCTGAGTTGGGTAAAGTTTAGAACTGACATAATAGCACTCAGGACATTGCCGTAAACATTCCGTCCCTATCTTCAGCAGCCAGCCTAGAGTTCTCATTCCAATGAGCTTGATATCATCTTCAGAACTTTTGCTTAATATATACTAACAAATATTTAAACAGACATTGCCTAACAAGCACGTCATAGAAGGTGACTAACAAGAGGCACTTCCTTTAAAGTCTGATTGTGTTTGCCTGAAAGGCAGGAAACTAACAGTTTGCATCCAGATCTGTAAAACGAAGGTTCAGAAGGACCGCACTTTGCCAGATTTCTGTAGTCAGCTCTGATGCAACTTAAGAGGTACTTCTTCTTCTTCTTCACTTCCTCTTTTACCGCTGTGGGTGTCGAGGGAGATATAAGGTTCTGTCTCTAGCACTTCTGGCCGCCTCGACCATAGGCACATCGTGCTGTTGTAGAGTTTCTCTGATGTTATCCTTCCATCTTGTTCTTGGTCTACCTCGTGCTCTACGTCCTTCTTCTCTTTCCATGTATGCTTTGTATGGTATGGTGTCACAAGGCATTCTCTCTAAGTGGGCAAACCATTTCACCTGCTGTCTTTGTATGTAATTTAGAATTGGTTCTGTGCCGACTTTTTCTCTTATGATCTCATTCCTGATCTTATCTCTTATGATCACTCCTACAGCCCTTCTCAGACATCTTATCTCCACGGTTACTAATTTTCTTTTATGGTTTGTTGTGAGTGACCATGTCTGGCACTGGTAGCACAGAGTTGGAATAAATATGCTTTGAATAAGATGTCTCTTTGTGCTGATTGAGATTGTCTTATGCTGTAAGAGGGGAGCTAGCTGTCCCAATACTTGGTTTGCTTTACTGAATCTAATGTTAATTTCTTTATCCAATTTCCCATCTTCGGTAAATGTAGTTCCCAGATATTTAAACTCAGATGCCTGTTTAATGCCTTTGCACTCTATTGCTATGTTTAGATCTGTCTTCTTTT